TTTTTTTCTTTCTTTCTTTCTTTTTTTTTTCCAAGTGTGAAAGTTGCTGTTCTATGCCAATTCTGAGTTTCCAAGTGTAGACCTGAGGCCTGGGGGGTAGAAGGAACTTGCAGAGGGTCACAGACGTCATGATTAACAGGCACTAGAGAGGTGGAAGGCCTCTGGACTCAGGCTTAGAGCTCTTTCCACGCCTCCACCAGAGCTGCACGGGGAACCGGAGCCTCTGCCTCGTGCACTTTTATGCCATTCCTTAGTTATAGGCTAGAAAAATCTGGAACATAACAACTCTCCCCAGGTCTTTCATCTCCTTCCTCTCTCTTCACACTTCTTGGAGGCAACTGCATGTTCCGCCGCCTTGACATGTGAGGATGGCTGCTCCCTGGGCGGGCTGCGGAAATGGGCCTGCGATGGCTGCAGGTGCAAATCAAATAGAGGAAAATTCTGATAATTGGACGACAAGGGAGGTAGCAAGTGATTTTCCTCACTAAGGGCGACAAACACTTATTGGTAATGTTGTGTAACCCAAAAGTGAAATAAAGTTACCCGTGGACAAAACAGACACTGAACTTTTCCAAAGGCACATTTATCTCGGAGAATAAATGAACCCTTGGAGTCTCGCTGTCACCAGTCCCACAATTATTAGAGTAGCGGTATCGTGCTCTCTGTTTGTCTCAGAAAAACATGACAACTTCATACTCTGCTCACCCCCTCAGAGATAAAGGGCAAGTTTGCTCTAAGTCCTAATTTACAAGGGGCAACACTTCGTCCCCCTGGTGGGGTTGTCGATGTGATGCTAAAAATGGTGCTCGGGTTGACTTGTGGGTAATTGATTCTCTGACGCTGACAACGCTCAGGAAAATGAAGGTATAAATAAATGATGGAGCGCCACACAGCCTCGGAGCGGACGCACAGCCCGAGGTCGGTGGAACTGGAACAGCACCTCGTAGCAGAGGGAGACCTGCCACCTGGAAGGTGAGAGCGGGCGGCCCTGGGGGCTGGGCGGGATGTGGGCAAGAAAAGTTGACATTGTCACCAACTAAGAGACACTGAGTCAATGAGGGCCATCGCCATCATCGCCGAGGATGGGTGAGTACATTTGGGTCCCAGTCTGGGGGAAATGAAGAAATGACCCCTCATTAGGGGTTCTGGAACATGCTTTCCATGGTTGGCACCATCTGGATTGGCCTGGATGTGTGGCACCTTGCCCCGTGGAGAAGTTGCAGAAGCCTGTGGGAGGCGAGGGAGGTCTCAATGCCGTGGGGCAGATTCTGGGGCAAGCCGTGCGCTGGATGGATTCCTGTCAACGCTGGGGGCTCTGCCATGGATCAGAGAGGAGCCAAGTGGCTGTGCAAATCAATACCGTCCATTGATCGCTGGAAACCAATTCAGCACAATTGCCTGGAAATTGATAACGTTTTCCTTTCTTGTTCAATAGCAGGCGTACTCCTTTCTCTAATTTTTAGACACAATTATCTGCCCTTGGAGCCTTCCATTATCCCACGCCTGTCCCTTGAGCCTGGCTTGAATGATCCTGAAGTGTGTTTTTCATTTGTTTCTTTGTTTTTTGTTTGTTTTTCACCAAAAGCTGCCTTAAATCCTTTCTAGAAGATGGTGGGCATCATTGTTTTGAATGATGGCTCAAGATGTTTTCTCATTAAAATCTTAGATTTGGGGGTGCAGCTCAGTGGTAGAGTACTGCCTAGCTTGTGCAAGACCCTGGGTTCCATCCCCAGCACTGCAAAAACAAATTTAGATTTTATTTTATTTTTTAACTTGGAACACTATTGGTGGCATGGCTTATAAACAGGGTCAGGAGATCAATGCTTTGGGGTTCTCAATTCCAAATCAGATATTTTAAAAAGGTAAAAAAGAAAAAAATTCTCTAGGTTTTCAAAAGTAGCCTTGCTAATTTGGGTGTTTGTGACCAGATGTCTGCTGTGAGCTAAAGGTATCTGCAGAATCCTCCTGGCATTCATAGCAGGAAGGTTGGGAAAAGATGGTAACTGGTGAGGATCAAGCACCTGAATTCAGAGGATCTCAGATATAATGAGTCACAGAATTAGCACTGCAGAAAGCTACTGTAATGAAGAAGGAAAGGGTTCAAACTCTAGAATGCCCTTGAGCATCCATTTGCTGTCAGTGTGGTTGCTGGGTTCAGGGTAGGCTTCGTTCAGTGAATTTTATCTCATTAGATTGTGCTGTGGGGTGTGTCTGTCAATAGCTATTTTATCCTTTGTGACGCAACTTGTCTATATTTTACCAGAGGCTAGATAATTCCTATCTCTGTGCAGTGGAATTTGGGGAGCCCATGGATTAGGACTAGGTTTGCACAGCCCCGGTGGCTGGGTGTCTGAAGTCCCCCTGTGGCGGGGGGCATGGTTTATGGAAAATGTTGAGCTTCTTGTTAGACCAGAATGTGTGGGTCCTCAGTCTTGTTTTGAACAAATGGGGTGTTCCTTGCTTTCTATAATGGCTCCCCAAAGTCTCTCAGGAGGTTATTTTCAACTCTGTGAAACCACTGGGTATGCAGAGGGAGGTGCCAATCAAGCAGGTGTCCCTGTTTGATCCCCTTTTGACTTCCTCAGAGGCCCAATGACAAAGAGTAAAAGATTTCCATTTCTTCAGACCCTTTCCCATGTGCAGGTGATGAATCTGAAGCGCCCATGAATAGGGAGCGCTGTGAATAGGGTATTGTACATGAGAAGCTGCCTCAAGGAGCAGGAGGAAGTCTGCTGGCCTGGGAATTAGGGGCCCATTCTGTAGTGCCCACTCCAAAGTTAATTTTGATGGAGGACCATGGAAAAAGGCCCTTCTCCTCTCTGGGCTCGTTTCTTCCGCTGTAAAACGAGGGTGGCAATACCTACTCCAGGGCCAGTGTGGGGGGGCTGCGCAGGACAGGGGGAAGGGGGGCTGGGGATCATATGTGCCAGCCCTGGGCTAGGAGGCAGGGGAGAAATTAGCCAAAAGCAGGGGCCTGGGGTTTACTGGGGAAGGAGTCTGAGCAGGAAAGATGGTGATCAGCCCAAAGCTTTAAAAGATGAACAGCCAAAAAAAAAAAAAAAAAAAAAAAAAGCAAGAAAACCGGGCTGTTCCAGGGGGCAGAAAACTCAGTGGTTTTTGTCAAGGGGGGCTCCTTGTCTCCAAGGATCTCCTTGCTTAGAAAATTCCACCTCTTGGGCTGGGATTATGACTCACAGGTAGAGCACTTACCTACCGTGCGTGAGGCACTGGGTTCGATCCTCAGCACCACATAAAAATAAAATAAAGATATTGTGTCCACCTATAACTAAAAAAATAAATTTAAAAAAAGAAAAGAAAATTCCACATCTTGAGAGGCAGCCCAGGTCAGGTGTGATATGGTGTGAGGAGGACAGAAGGCTGCAGGCCCTTGGGCCGAGGAGCAGAGAGTCAAGTGCAAGTGTATTCAAAGGGCTCAGCACAGGGTGCAGGTGTGAATCTCTGGGTGGCACAGCAGGCAGATATGAAAGACGCAGCCCTGGGGCAGATACCAGGTTCTCTTCTGTAGCTCCAGTCCTTATCGTAGAGGAAATGTTTAACAAGGGGCTGGGGTTGTGGCTCAGTGGTAGAGTGCTCACCTAGCACGTGCAAGACCCTGGGGTAGATCCTCAGCACCACATAAAAATAAATAAAATAAAGGTATTGTGTCCAACTACAACTAAAAATTAAATTTAAAAAAAATGTTTAACAAGCAGTCATGAATCAGTGGCAGGGATATGTTCTGAGAAATGCACCATGGGGCAATTTCATTAAGGTGCAAACGTGATAGGCTGTGTTTACACAAACCAAGATGGTGACGGTTCTCTCACTGGGCAGTGCAATCTTATGGGACCACCATTATATATGTGGGCTGTTTGGCCAAAGCACTGTTATTCGGCACGTGGCTGTATTAAGAGGCGAGAGGGATTTAGGTTTGACACAATGAGAAAAACATCCTCATGGTAAGAACAGCCCAGAAAAGAGCCAGACTGGAGGTAGCGAGTTCCCTGTCATTCACTGACAGCGAGTGCTCCCCTGGAGGAACTGGAGGACTCCCTGGGGAGGAGGGGTGCCTCTCAAGGAGGGTCTGACCACTGACGCCTGAAGGGGCTGCTTCCTCTGGCTCTGGAGGGGCAGGGGTCTCGGGCCACAGTGGGCAGTCTCCATGGGTGTTCCTTCAGAGCCCAGGCATCCCTGGGTTAGTGGAGACCACAGAGTTCTGCCACACTGGCTTACTTGGGCTCTCAGATCCTTTCAGGACTAAAATTCCTTCTGTGAAACCTGAGCATCTGAGAGAGATTTACAAGCTTACTCCCCTCCCTCCAACTCCACAATGAAAGAAACAAGTTGAGCTTACCCTCCAAGTGGGTCAATATTAAGTGACACAGCAAAAGTTTCTAGAGAGTTCCTTATGTGCCAAGCTACTCTCTTAGGTGCCTCAACTCACCTGATCCTCACAAGGACCCCATATAGGTGACACTTATCGTCTCTGTTTTAGGGTGGGGGAAACTGAGGCCCAGACAGGTAAAGTCACTCATCTTGGGACACACATTTAAGTGACATTTGAGCCAGGATTTGAACTCAAATGTCTGTCTCAGAGCTGAACTCTCACCCTGCTAGCTGCTGTCACGGCTATGCTGAATAGTGGCACTAAGGGAAGGCACTCTCTTCTCTACTTTCCCTCGTGAGGATGAGTTCTGCTTCTTGTCCCTGAACAGCAGGGTGTGACTTCAGCACTCTCTCTGGTTTTTCTGTTCTCCCTGATGAGATGGCCAGGGTAACTTTATCATGCCCATTTGCCACACGGAGAAATCAGAGCTGGCAGAGGCAGAACTTGAACCCAGGTCTGCCTGGCTTCCAGCATCTGGGTTCTTTTTCCTACGGCTTCCAAAGGATGAGGATGGAGACTTACCATGGAGCCAAATCCAGTAGGCAAAGGGCATCCCTGTGGCCATGGCTGCTGCCGCCCCTGACCATCCCCTCTTGCTCTTTTGCAGGTGCCTCCCAGGGGGACAAGGATGCCACTCTGGGTGTTCTTCTTTGTGATCCTTACCCTCAGCATCGGTTCCCACTGCTCCCCATCTCCCTCTCTGCCTCTCAGGTAAGCAGCCCCTGGATCCCTGTACCTCTGAGCCATCGCTGCACATCTCAGGGAGGGGACCAGACACTGAGTCCCAGAGGTCATTCAGCCAGGGTGAGTCCCTGAGGATGAGCAAGACAGGGGGCAACAGAGGACCTTGCAGAGGCGTGGCGAGTCTGGCTCCCATCGTCCACTCTCCTGCCCCCACACCAACCTCTGACTCCTTCACATAGGATGCGGCGGTATGCAGATGCCATCTTCACCAACAGTTACCGGAAGGTTCTGGGCCAGCTGTCTGCCCGCAAGCTGCTGCAGGACATCATGAGCAGGCAGCAGGGGTAAGCAAAAAAATTCTCCCACACAGCTGTGCATCAGAGTTTGGAAGGCCTGATGCAGGAGGCCAGGGACCAAGTTTGGTCTCCTCCCTGACTTAGCATCTGTCATTGCTGGACTCTGCACAGCAGAGAGGCCCCAGCATCAAGCCTCAAATTGCTTCTACACCCATCGTGTGCTTTTTTCCTTTGCGAGGCTCCATCAGTAAGTGCTGATGGCAGTTACCGTTCAATCATGGCTGTGTCAGAAACAAGCCTGCACAGAACATGGACGCCAGCACTATACCAGGCACACAGAAAGCCCTTGGCAGTGCTAGTCACTATTCTTAGTTTCTTCTCTGATCATTGGAAGAACTCAACAAAGTAGGGACTCTCAGCCCCTCTGTACAGATCCACTAATGACCTCTAAAGGACACAGAACCAAACAGTGGCAGAGCTGAGATCCAAATAGCCCGATTCCACATCCTATGTATTTGTTGTGCTTTTTATTTTGAAAAATCTCAAACTTACAAAAAAAAAAGTAGCAGCAATAGTACAGACTTCCATCTGCCCTTCCCTGCATTCAGTAATTCCTAACATTTTACTACATTTGCCTCCTCTGTGTCCATAGCTAGGTATAGATTCATACAAACACATACACACGCGTATTATTATTCTTTTGAATATCATTTTTGCTGAACCATTTGAGAGCACAGTGCAGTCATCATGACTCTAACCCTTGAGCACATCTGCACGTGCTAACAAACCTACCAACAGGACATCCCCTTACACAATCGCAGAATAATCATCACTTAGAACCCATATTCATATTTCATCGGTTATCCCCAGATATCCTTTATAATCATTTCTTTTTCTGATCTAGGATGTGTCCAGGAACATAGGTTTCGTTTGGTTGTCAGGTCTCATTAGTTTCTCTTAATCTGGAAGAGTTCCAAAGACTTTCATGGCATTGACATTCTTTTTTTTAAAAATATTTATTTTTTTAGTATTTTATTTATTTTTATGTGGTGCTGAGGATTGAACCCAGAGCCTCACATGTGCTAGGTGAGTGCTCTACCACTGAGCCCCAGCCTCTCCCCCCACCCGCATTGACATTCTTGACTAGTAAAAGCCGATGCTCTAGATAGACCATCCCTCGCAGTGAACCAGCAGAGGCAGCCTCATCATTAGATTCAGGTTAGACACTCACACAGATGTTAGTGTGTCCTTCTTAGTAACCAGTACCAGTAGCCATTATTCATGGATTATTGGTGGATGGTAAATCTGATCACTTGGTTAGCATGATGTCTGCCATTGCTGTCTGCCAGATGAGTTAGTAATCTGGGAGGGATTTTTGGGCTATGTGCGTTTCCATGGTGCACTCTTCTTCTGTGCGTAGTGCCGCCCTGAATGTTGTGTGGAAGAATCCACATCAGATATTGAATTAGGCATAGGGATGCTCACCCGTGTGTCCACATCCTACCCAACCCCAACCCCAACTGTTTCTCCTTCTCTAACCACAAAGAGAGAGAGAGAGGAACCAGGAGCAAGGAGCAAGGGTTCGGCTCGGCCGCCAGGTGGACAGCATGTGGGCAGACCAAAAGCAGACAGCACTGGAGAGCATTCTGGTGGCCCTGCTGCAGAAGCACAGGTAGGGATGTGTGTGTGTGGTCTAGGGACCTCAGAGGCTCCTTCCCCATTCTCTCCAAAGGCTAGAGTCTCTCTGCCCCCAAACAGAACAAGCTCCTTCTTTTCCTTTTATACACATCAAGAACAGAAGGACTGCAATCCCAGCTGTTTGGGATGCTGAGATGGGAGGATCCCTTGAACCTGTGAGTCTGAGACAAATGTGGACAGCATAGACCCCTATCTCTAAAAAAAAAAAAAAAAAATAGAATAGAGGAAGGAGAGGAAATGTGTGACAGGTGACAGAGATTGAATATTATCTACTGCTGTATGTCCCGTGTATATCAACAGGCCAAATTCAATGTCTGTGCCCTAAAATGTCACTCACAGAATGGTTTTGGGCCAGATCCCAGAAATCTGAGTTTCAACAAATGTCCCAGGTGATTCCCATGTAGGCAATCTGAGAGGTATGCCCAGGCTTCTCTGCCAAGTTCACAAAACTATAAAGCCAAAGGCAGGCCGGCCTTCTCACGCCCAGTGGTAGACCAGCTTGTACAAGTGCACTGTCCTTAGTGGGAGAGATGGTCACAACAGTTATGTCCCACCTCACTGACCCTCATATTCACACTGGGAGTCAGGGAAGATCATGAATGAGTTTTCCCATTTTACAGAAGAGGAAAAGTAAGGCAAAGAAGAGGCCACAGCTGGCCTCAAGTCAGGGACTGGCAAGCCCAGATTTGCTGTCCTCCCTGGAATGTCTCTACATAAAGTGTAGTTTTTTTTTTTGTTTGTTTGTTTGTTTTTGTTTTTTTGTGTGTGTTTGTGTTTGTGTGTGTTTGGAGAATAACTGCTGTATTTTAGAGCCTGATTTTATTTTATTTATTCATTTATTTTTGTGATACTAGGGATTGAATCCAGGTTTGCTCTATCCTGGCATCTTTAAACTTTTATTTTGAGATGCTGAGGGTCCCACTAAGCTGCTGGGTTGCCTTGTCTCCTGAGTAACTGGGATTATAAGTGTGTGCCACCACACCCGGCCCCCAGAACCCGATTTTGAATGGACCACAGGCAGACCTAGGGGCTAAAGACCAACTCCCTGCCCATAGCAAGGGGGGCTTCCTGATTTCTTCCTCCAAGAAAGGAGCAGGTTAGCGCTGCCCTAAAGTCCCAAGGCTAGGATTCTAAAAACAATGTCTCTCAGAAGGATGCTCTGAGGCCACTCAGGTAATCATTTACCTTCTGTCTCTCTCTAGACCGCCCTAAGCAGGAGTGGCCCCAAGGAGGGCCAATCCTAAGAGCTGGGGCTTTGTTCTGCATGTTAAAAGCCAGAGGCTTCACAGAGCTCTTTGGAAGGGCCTGGAGGCCACTCCAGCCATTGTTCCCTTGCAGTTCAGCTGCTACCAATTTCATGTTGTCACTAAGTCTGCCTGAGAAAACAGAACGAGTGGCTAGAGGGTTACAGTTCAGAGTATCACCATTGGACAGGCACACTTGTGCCCCCCACACCTGTGTCCTCACAGCCGAGGTTCAGGGTTAGGTACCCTCCAAGGGCCATCCAGGACTACTATGTGCCATGTTCCAGGCTGGGGACCCACAATGGTCAGGACAGAGGCAGCCTCCTGGCATTCATAGCACACTGAGGTGGCAGGACTTACCTAAGAGTTGCACAGTGGATTATTGAACTTGTGATCAATGGAAAGAGAAGTAGGGGTGTGGTGCATGTCTGGTTGGGTGAAGCTGACTCTGTCTGGGGATTTGAAGTGACTTCTTCAAGGAGGAGTGACCAGTCCAGGGTCTCCTTGAGAGCCAGTTGGCAGGGTAGAAGCTGAGAATGGGGTCTGCTCTGCTGACAGGCATGAGCATCCTCCCCTCTGCCCTGTGGCTGCCCTGTGCTGTCTCGTGAAGCGAGAGGCCAGCTCCTGGCCAGCAGGCCCATCCCCTGGTTCCAGGTGTCCCGCCCTAACTTGCCCTTCCTTCAGTCTCCAGACTGAGCCTTCTGTTTCTTTCTGCAGTGGGAATTCCCAAGGATGAAGACCTCAGCTGGGGCTCAGACCACCTGGAGCCCAAACACAACTGGATCCAGTTAATCCTATTTCACTTCTGACCTACTTTTTCCTTTGTAAATACAATAAAAATCCCCCATACTGGTCTGCATTTCAATCTTATCTACAGCCTATTTTTTTTTTTAGGTCTTATAGAGTTATATTTCCCAAAGTGGCCTTACAAGGTATAATTAAAAAAAAAAAATAGCTAAGGCTGGGGATGTAGTTCAATGGTAGAGTGCTTACCTAGCATGTGTGTGGCCCTGGGCTCAAGCCCTAGTACCATAAAAAAAAAAAAAAGAAGAAGAAGAAAAGAAAGAACGAAAGAAGAGAAAAACCTGGGCTGGGTTTGTGACTCAGTGGTAAAGCACTTGCCTAGCATGTGTGAGGAACTGAGTTTGATTCTGAGCACAGCATATAAATAAATAAAATAAAAGTTAATTGATAACTAAAAATATATATATATAGATAGATAGATATAGATATATAGATAGATATAGATAGATAGATAGAAAAAGAAAAGAAAAATCTAACATTTACCAAACATAGAGGGCCTGCTGAGCAGCTTCATGAACAGAACTACAGAACCTCTCCTCTTCACACAGCCTCTCGGCAAGCTGGCAAGTATTGTGATTCTTAGACCAGGAACTGAGGTGCTGAAAGGTTAACCAAACTGCACATGGTCTCCTCTGGAAAGTGAGAGAGAAGGGATGCAAACCCAGGCTGCCTGGCCCAGAACCATGCTCTCAGCCATAGGTCTCCGCCCTGTGTCAAGTCACCCTTCATCCACTGGTGACTGGCTCATCCTTTTATTCATTCAACAAATATTTATAAGCCAGGCATGATGGTGTGTATCTGTAATCCCAGCAACTGCAGAGGCTGAGACAGGCAGATCACAAGTTCAAGGCCAGCCTTAGCAACTCAGTGAGGCCCTAAGCAATTTGGTAAGGCTCTGTCTCAAAATAAAAAATAAAAAGGGCTGGGGATTTAGGTCAGTGGTAAAGTGACCCAAAGTACCAACCTCCAGTACCAAAAAATAAAAAATAAATATTTATGCATACACTGTGGTCCTCTTCTAGGCATTGAGGAAACACTTATGAGCAAAGTCCCTGATCTCACAGACCGTTATTCTACCGGGGGAGGGTAACAAAAACAAGTTAACACCCAATGGTATGTACAAGGGACAAGCTTTGAATGGGATGGGAGTGTTGGAGGGTGTTAGTTTATCTCCACTGTGTACATGTGAAGGCTTCACTGATGGTTTGACATTTGAGTCAAGACCCAGAGGAGTGGGGGTGGTTGGCTTTGTGACTATCTAGGTAGGGTGAAAATCCTCACAAAGGCGCTGAGACAAGATCATGGAAGGAGGAATATCAAGGTCAGTGTGCCTGGCTAGAGCAGAGCCAAGGCGTGGGTGAGAGGAAGGGAGGCTGAGGGAGTGGGAGGCAGCTCATGGGAACCTGTGGAGGGGTTCAAGACACAATGTTACCAAATTGAGTTGTAGAGCTCCAAAGTGGATTCCTCACAGTGATTCATGGATTGCGCGGCATCCTGCAAGGACCTCCAATGAACTGGGTAGCAGTGGCATTGTAGGTCAAATGGGCTGAAAAAACAAAAATGGAACAAAAAGCATGCTGGTCGTTTCAGAGATACTTTCTTTATAGGGTTGAAGCAGAGGGGACTTCCTCAAGCCAGCTCAAATTGACCAGGCCCCTTAGATTGCTTACTGTGAATCTCCTGAGTTTTGGAAAACCACCCCTTTGAAAAGTTCTTTGATTACTGTTCTGGTTTGGTCTGATCTGTTGGAGCCTACTGCAGCCCTACACAATGGCCTCCCAAACATTTTGTTTAATATGGTCATTGTGGGGACTCGGATCTCACCCTTGGTGACATGGAAGTCCTCATGGAGTTAAGCAGAAGAATATAATCTGACTGATGTTTAAAGTCACTCTCAGAGACCAACTGAAGACAAGAAGAAGGGAGGGGACTGGGACTATGGCTCAGGAGTGGAGGTCAAAGTCTTATTTGAGTAGGTTCAAGAGAAAATGGGAGAAGAGGAAGCAGAGCTGGGAATCCTGGCTTTCCAACACAGTGGCCATTATACACATGTGGCCATCGAACCCTTGAAATGTTGCTACCAGGGCTGGGGCTGGGGCTCAGTGGTAGAGCGCTTGCCTAGCATATGTGAGACACTGGGTTAGATTCTCAGTACCACCTACAAATAAATAAATAAAATAAAATTAATTTCATCAACAACTAATAAAAATATTCAAAAAAATATTGCTAACAAACTGAGATGTGCTTTAAGTGTAAAATAAACACAGGATTTCAAAGACTTAGTCTGGAAGAATAGTGCAAATATCTTAATATTTTTACATTGATCACATATTAAAATAATATTTTGGATATGTTGAGTCAAATAAAATATATTAAAATTAGTTTGTCTGGTGTTATTTATCTTGGCAGCACTGAGAATAAACCTAGGGTCTCATACATGCTAAGCAAGTGCTCTCCCACTGAGCTCTACTACCCGCCCCTCATTTTTATTTTTTTGTTGTGGTATTACAATATGTACCATCACCTATGTGGCTTATTGCCATCTCTAGCAGAGATGATTTTTTTAAGAAGTATTACCAAAGATGCTCATACTGAAGCCACTAACTAACCAGAGGTCCCCATGTTAGTGGTTACCCAGCTTTTTCTACTGATGAACCATTTCATCTGGGCCACATATCTGCACACATCACTTGCCCTCAAAAATTTTTTTTTTCCAGTGTGATAAAAAATGTTCTATATTTTTCTGGGCGTGGTGGCGCACACTTATAATCCCAGTGGCTCAGGAGGCTGAGACAGGAGGATCACTTCAAAGCCAGCCTCAGCATCAGCGAGGCGCTAAGCAATTCAGTGAGACCCTGTCTCTAAATAAAATACAAAAGAGGGCTGGGGAGGTGGCCATATTTTGATTTGGGTAGCAGTTATCCCAGTGTTAAATATAAAAATTCATTGAGTTTAAGATTTAAGCATCTTACTGCAAGTAAATCAAACCTTTAAAAACCAATAACTGTGAATTCTGGATGATGGGATGTGTCTTGATTACAAGTGCAAAAAGAATCACAGCATCTTCAAGTTGATGGGACTCAGTGATGAGCAGTCGCTCACCCTTTGTTTGCCAGCCTAGGACCTGGTCACTAGGGAAGGGTAGGGTTTGACCCACGTCCTGAGGGGCTGGCAGCCAGGTCACCTGTCTCCCAGCACCAGAACACAGAGAGCAGAGCACAGGGTTCAGACCACCTGCTGTCCCTGGGAAAGAATGTGAAGCGTGGGAAATGCTCGGCAGGGGGCCACTCAGGAGGGCAGCTCCTCTGAGGAGACAATAAGAACAATGGGAAACAAAAGTCCCCTCCGGAGGAGGAGGCTGGCCATTGAGGGCAGGCGGTCCACTTCAACCAAGAGAGGCGGCAGGCCTGGAACCTGCCAAGGAGAACAAAGGCTGAGACTAGCTGAATGGGAGAGTGACGGCCAGCCTGGGACCCCTCTCCTCCCAGGCCCACCTGCTCATCTCTTTCCCTGGCCTGTTCCACAAAAGCAAAAACCCGGGACTCTCTTAACTTTCAATTAGTTTTTCAAATGAAATAATGACCGCTGGGACCTGCTGCTACTTGTGGTTTCGAGGTGAATACAATTAGAGAGGGAAAAACCACGGCGGCCACAGCCCCGGTGCTTGATCTCCATTAACTGCAACTCTAATGGGAGCTTAGAAGACTTAACCTCTCCCCACGGAGATGCCGGAGCTCCCTCCTCATTCCCGTGGGGGTCCCGCTTAAGACCCAGTGCTATTTTTTTTCCCCTAAAGAAATGCTTTAATCAATGGGGGACTTGTCACTTTTAATGATGATCCTTTATGTTTGTATTAACTTGGAGTTCACAAAGAGGCTCCCTGCAACAGCCCTCTGGAGGAAGACAGGGCTGGCTTCACTGCCAGTTTCCCAGAGAGGTCAGAATCGGGTCTCAAGTCACACAACTAGGAGGCCAAAGAGCTGGGGACTCTGGAGGGAGGCGGAGGGGAGGAGGGCACCGGGAGACTCCTGTGACTCCAAGACTCCAGGCCCCTCAGGAAATACAAGCTGGGGAATGAGAGAATGTGGACCCAGCACAAACTGCTTATTGGGATCCTGCTACCAGCATTCAGAAAATAGCATGAAAACAACAGAGGATCCAGATTCCAAAACCCAAACCCAGATTTTTTTTATAATAAATCTCATTTTCAAATGTCAGCAACTGATTCAACTACTTAAACACTGTAGGTCAAATAAAACATATCTACGGGCCACTAGCATGCAATTTCTGGGAGAGGTGAGGCCTGCTTCCCACCTTAGGGACTGCCCTGCAATTGCCCATATTTTGTCTTCCCATCCGTAGGACCCTTTTCAGGACTAGCCCAGAGTTCTAGAATTTCCTTTCCCTGTTTCCAGTAAAAGACCCCAATTTCCTTACTGGAGTAAAGTCCAGCTAGATTGGAAAGCAATCTAATTAAAATGACATTAACTTCTGTACCCTGAATTCAGTAAACTCTGTGAGGATTACCTGCATCCTGAAAGTTAACTAAATGGGCCAGTCATGGTGATGCACACCTGTAATCCCAGAGTCAGGAGCCTGAGACAGAAGGATAAGTTCAAGTCCAACTTGGGCAATTTAGGAGACCCTGTCTCAAAATAAAATTCAAAAAAGGGACTGGGATCGTAACTCAGTGGCAAAACACCCCTGGGTTCAATCCCCAGTAAAACACACACACAAGCGCATGTGCACGCACACACGTGTACACACACACACACACACACACACACGTGGGCCCCTCAAGAGGTGACTAAAGCAGGAGGGCCAAGCCCTCACCAATGGATGAGTACTGGCTGAGGGAACTGGCTAGCTCATTTTTTATCTTTCTGCCCCTTCTGCCACATGAGGACAAAACATTTGTCCCTTTCTGCCATGTGAAGACACTAAGACAGCACCATCTACAAGGAGCAGGCTCACACTAGATGCCAAATCTGCTGGTGACTTGAACTTGGATTTCCCAGGCCCCAGAACCACTGGAAATAAATTTCTATTATTTATAAA